ACAGGTTGCTGCAATGCACACGTTTACACCGCCGCTGCCTACGGAAAGATAACACCGTCCAGCGAGTAGGGCCGTGGAAGTACCGTTTGTGCACGGGTATTTCCATGGCCATGGCTCTGCGGGCACCCTTGGTGATAGGATGCCGGCGTACATGGCGGGTACGCCTGCTTCCCACTACTCTTGCTTTCAAAGCATACGCGGTGTATGTGGTCGGAGGGTCATGCCTCACTCGGCGATTGATCTTATGATTAACACGCCGGGCCTTCTTTTGTTTAGGCGAGCCCGTCGGGAGATTGCAAGAACTGCAGTGCTGAGGACTTTCCCAGTGTGAACAACACACTAGGAAAATCACGAACACTGCACAAACGCATGCAAGAAATGCACCAATGCTGCAAGTTGCGATTGAATTAGCTTCGGATAAAGCTGAGCCTCTTGTGAACATACACGCCATGATCAGGGACCAGAGCATGCGCTTCATATGACTTGCACATGTAATTAAAGTGTGCCTCTGCCCATTCGCACCTTCACCACGATGAAGGCCCGCACGCACGGCGCGGAGGTTTGCAGATGGCGTGCGGACCCCTAAACCCTTAAACCCTAAACCCCTAAACAGAAAACCACTGGCAGACCACCAAAGAACAAACGCAAGACCATCCTTGACTGGCAGAAAGTTACGCGGACTCCTCGTGCGGGGACGAGTTCTCTTGCAAGCACCCCACAGTGGGTACCGTGCAACCTTGGGGGGAACTCTTGGTTCATTATTCAGATCCACTTCTAGGGTTTAGGCTTAGGGTTTAGGGTTTAGGGAGGGATTCCTTCAGATGAGCGGTACCTTCTTTACAGCTCCTTATGTTAGGGATCCTACTGCTTAGGGTCTGTATTGGGAGCCCCTGATTATCTAAAACTGCAACAGCCCACATCCTTGGAAGCCCGGCAAACACTAAACCCTTAAAGGATTTAGGATTTATGGCTTCAGCTTTAGGATTCAAAGCGTGACAGTCAGAAGGGGCCCTAAGCCTAGGACGACGCCGGGAAAGAGTGCCCGAGCCTTTGAAGCCGGAGCCACCCTCAACCTCCGTAGGACCCTCAACCGCAGGGCTGCGCTTATTTAAAAAGAGCCTTCAAATGAGGATTCTATTCTTAGTAGAGTTTAGGGTTCAGGCTGGCCGTTAGAATGGGGAGGTCAAGCTCATGCGCAGGTTGCTTGCACAGCCTGATGTAGACCCCTAGACACCCTACAGAAGCATTTGCACTCGGCGGTCGTTGAGCCATCTTGTAAAGCACAGGGTGTGATGAAGCCCTGGTCTGGGACAACTAGATCCCAAACCCTACACCCCAAAACCCTACTATAGGGGGTCTAAATAACTACCAATACTATTTTGGGGTCCCTTCTTATATTTGTACTATAAAGGAGCCCGAAGACCCCTGTTCTAATTGTTAAGGCACCTTTCTTTATCCCCTTACAGTCGCCTTAAATGCCAAGACCCGAAACCCGAACCTTGCGCCTGAGGCAAAGGCGCCAAGAAGATAAACAAAGCCTTGTTCAACCTGCAGGCCGGCTTGGGGTTAAGACATACTGGGTTTAGGGTATAGGGTTTAGGGTTTAGGCTAAACAAAAATTCGAACAGGGTGTGGGAAATATTCTACTATACTGATCATAAGGAACCCCCAAAGTACACAAGGTAATTGTGAAGGGCCCTGCATTACTGGGTTTAAAGTTTAGGGTTACGGTTTAGCCTTCATTTCGGGTGCCATAGGGACCTCCCTCACTTGAACAGGGTTCCTTCAAAAGGGATACTATACGGGTTTTACAGGGGTTTAGTATCTGTGCTTTTCTAGTCTTGTGATAGGGTTTTGAATGTAGAGTGTTGCCATAAATAGAAAAAGGTTACAAGGGAGTGCCAGTAGAACTTCTGCCGATAGTCGGATCCTTAGGCACCTTTGAAACCGACGGAAATCTGAACCATTCAGTCCCTACAAGTGGTAGTCAAGCGCAATCACATACATAGCACGAACGGGGATAGTGCCTGGACTAAGTACATCTATATGCAGCATATCAGCAGTCTTGGCTAAATACAATTTATTTCTAACCGCCCCAGACTGAGATCATTGCCCAGATCCAAGAGATGCAATGCTGCCAGTTCAAATCAAGCTAGGTAGGCTTGGATTCGGGGTTAATAGGTGTTTGCGGTCTTTAATGTTTTTTACTTTGTAGACGGATTCATATCCTTTAATTTGCCTTTCATAGATTCTTCTATAGGTAAGCCGCCGGCCATGGTGCTATATCACATGTCCTTTTGCGTTGCTTACGAATATGTTTTTTCTGGCTTTAAGGAGGGTTTAGGGTTTAGCGTTGCGAGTTTGTGTTCAGGGAATCTGTTCAGACTTACGCTTCTGCTGGGTTGTAGCCCAGGGAACACCCAAGAGCGGATGGCTCTTGTCAACCTGCTGTCTAGTGATCCACCTCAAAGAGATCAGCAGGGTTTCAGATAATATAAAGGCCTTTATGCTTTCCTGTGATATTTTGGGGGTTCCGTATTGTAATTACAGTATAATGTACCCCACACCCCTATTCCAATTATTAAGGCCCCTATATTATGCTGTTAGATCCGTGCAAGACCTCTCTGTAGATAATATAGGGGCCTGAATAATTCCTAGCATCATTCCGTCGGGTTAGCCCAAAAACTTATTCGATTTATTAACGCCCCCACATTTATAGAGCCCTTATAGATAGAAGCCTTGATTGTCGAGCCCTTTGATGGTGTTTGCATGATATATCCCAAAGCCCCATTCCGATTATTCTGGCCCCCAATTTGCTAGACCTCCGAACGGGTCTGTGGCAGGTCAGCAAGCTTGGCCGCTTTGCAGCAACCAGTGTCTTCAGCTCGTTGGATGTGAAGTGCAACGGTAGAAGCATGAAACTTTAGCATTCGTGTCTCTTAGGGTTCCTTATAACAAGCATACTATAAAATGAACACTGTTATATTGCCCCAAAACCCTACTCTCATCATTAACGGCTACATACTAGCGCCTTGCAAGGGTATTCGGTGAAGGGTCTGTTTCTGCTCCTTGCCTTCAACTATCTCCGACGAACACTGAAACCGATCCCAACTGTCGTGAGGACGACGGTTTAGCTTTCGGGATACCGGAAGTGCTCAAACTCGCACGTGTATGACAATCTGGCAGAACACAGACAAGGCTTTGGATATAGAAGCCCGAAAAATCTGGTAATACTATTCATATTCTTAATGCTTTATTATCATAGCGAAACTACAACGTGTACTCTAAAACCCCATTAGAATCATTGAGGCCGGTATTCTCGAAGCACTCCACCGCTTCGTAGTTTCAGGGACTGAAGAGATGAATTCAGGTCAGCGCCACGAAAGAAAATGAAGGTTTAGGGGCTTGGGGTAGTGGTTTACGGGCTTTGCGGCTTGGGGGCTTCGGGCTTGGGGACATAGAGGCTTGGGGTTTAGGGGGTTTAGGGGGTTTAGGGTTTATGCTTCCCCGAAAGCATCCGAAAGCCTACTTGCGGCCGAGGCAAGGACACAGAGTAAGCCTCCGCCCCTTGCCGGCGGCGCTCTGCGAAGATGCTTAGGGCTAGCTTAGGATTAGGGTTCGACCTTTGCCGCTCGAGTCGCAATACTTTCTCCCCAAGATGTTAGGGGGGTCCATATCGAAGCGGCTGTCCCTGTCCTTTTCTGGAACGCTGCTGTTCTGGGATGCTATGAGGAAGCTCTGACATACGTGTCTGAAGAATTAGCACTGCGATCCCCTTTTTGTCCCTGTGCACACGCACATGTGTATATACATGTACATATATATATATATGTGCCTGTGTGTGTACATCCATACACCTACATATATATATATATACATATATGCGTACATACAACAGGGTTTAGAATTGAGGGTTCTGTTTATATGACGAGCCATACTGGGATCACGAAGCCTCTCCCGTAAAGCAGCAGACGAAGAGGACATGGACAAGGTTAATGATTTTTTCTGAACTGCTGGCCGCCAAGCGGCTCTTGCAGCTCGCGTTCAGAGTAACTCCGGTTATTGTGTTGCAAGCAGGGTTTCTGGGGGTGTGGGGCTTTCCGAGCCCTGCTTGGACTCAGACCATAGGTCAGAGCCAGCTTTTCCCTTGCAATCGCAGTTATCACCGGCTCAAGCTGGATTGGGCAGAGTCTTTTGCCCCTTATGCCTTCTGGACTCTGAGCCATTTGTGGTTCGGGCTTGATTGGAGCTGGCTGCTCGGAGAAAGGAAGGAGGGGACTAGGAAGCGCTTCTGCCTTGCGTTTGCCTGCGCCCTCCAATAAAATCCTTGCGGAACTCTGCAGATCATATACTATGACTTATATTACACCGTCTGGCTTTGTTGTATTTATGCGCTATTGCCAAATATTATATGAGGTGTCTATATATATATATATATCTATCTATTTATATATTTATATGCACTGTCTCAAAGTCTTTCTCACTCCACGCCCTGAAGTGGGTTGTTCTCTAATTGAATTAGGGTCCCTTTTAGGGTCCTTTTTATAAGGGTGCCACACTATTTTGGGGCGTAAAAAGAGACCTTAATTTAGAGAATTACCCTCGTAATCCCTGAGCCCCTAAACCCTAAAATTTAGAGAATTACCCAAGTACAGAGAACTCAGGGTGAAGTTGTTGGTTTGGGGTTTAGGGTTTTTGGGGTTTAGGGATTTAGGGTTTAGGGATTTAGGGGTTGCCCTTATCATCCCCTCAACGCTGGGCAACAAAAGCTGCTTCTGTCTGGAAGTGCCGTGCTTGGCAGCACAACATTGGATTGTTGGGCGTCCTGCAGCCGTGAGCATCTGCATCACAAACTTTATTCACTTATACCGCCGCTTCGAGATTGCCACGATGCTTGGACAAAATCCCTTGGAGGATCCAGCCCTTATGGGAACCCTTGACAGGCATTCTTATCGGATGTTTCGAGAGCTTAAAGACGGCAGATGCTGCTCTGACCGAGGATGACCTCGAAGTCGAACTTGTGCTTTCTTCTTCTGCCAGTGCTGCTGGCCTTTGCAAGGGCCTCCGAGCTCTGCGACGCAGGAGACCTTCAGAGATGCGGCACAGGGAGGAAGAAAAAGAGAGAGAGAGATACGACGAAGCCAATGGAGAAAGATATCGACGGACCCGAGCACATCGCAGAGCACGGAGAAGCAGAAGAGAGAGAAACGCACACATGCACCAGTGCTGTTGCGATGGGGCGCAGCGTATGTGGCCACCTGCTGGGAAACTTCAGATGAAGCGAGGCCAGAATACGCAGAGGTTGCAGGTGGATTTGGGGTTGGAACAGTGTCCGGACCACGGCCTCATCTACGCGGCAAGCAAGCTTCACGCCGACCGAGAAGGGGTGCCCTCTGGCCGATTAGAATTGGAAGAAGAGAAGAGAGAGGGACAGAGAGAGAGAGAGAGAGAGAGAGAGAGAGCGAACGACCCCCGCACGACAGCGTACCAAAGCCCACGGCAGGAGATGCTGCTTGCGCCGCGCAAAGCTCGGCGCTCCTCCAGCACAGCGCCCGCGACAGCCCCAGCTCGGCAGACTAGTTGCTGCAATGGTTCAAAGCACAGATTTAGATTTAGATAAGAAAGAAAATATAGTAAGATCTACATAATATAGTACTATGCAAAATACTAGTAGCATATAATATTTATCTCGTATTCTATTGGAGGATTTTCGTCGCGCGGTCCAAGGTCACGGCAAGGCGGACCAAGGCGCGTGTGCTTTGCTCTGGCTCTTTCTGCTCGGCACCTCTTCGCGCGACGTGCGCCAGGAGCGGAGGCGGAGAGCCTCTATGGGGAGAGCCTCTATGGCACGGCCGGAGTACCCCTTTGCAAGGATGCCGCCGATTTCCTTCCAGAGAGGGAAATGTGGGCTTGGTGCGACTTCTACGGTCCCGGTGCCACGATGCCAGACGAAACTCGGCAAGCCTTGACAGCCTGGACTTGCATTGCTTGCGTTTCGGTAAGTCGATAAGTCTGTCTGAGGAAACGGTGTGCAACGCTCAAGAGGGTTGCAACGGTGGACAGGGCTGGTGCCACTGCGAGGGCGCAACAGGCTGCCAGGGGGCGGGTGGCATCTGGAATGCCCAAACCTGCGCGATGGAGGTGGACATGTTCAGGCCATGGACGTAGTAGAGCGACATTCTTTCCGCTTGCCACCTGCCCTCGCCAGTCCGGAGCAGCGGGACATGTTGCGCGAGGCGGACTTGCACGGCAGCTGCCTTGACCTGGAGGCCGGGTGTCTCTCGGTTTCGAACAGAGAGGAAGAGTTCCGCAGTCTCTCTTCAGGCCAATGGCATGAAAGCGAAGGACATGCAATGCAATGCAACAGGCTTTAGCTTCTTTGTTCTATTCCTTTGCGGATGAAGGGTCGAGCTTCTACAATGCACCGGAGACGCAGGATCTGGTGTCCTGGCCCGCGCAGAAGTGCTGCCATTCCTTCCCAGCGACGGTCTGCAACAAAGAGCTTGAGGCGCAGACACCTTGCCTGGAGAACGAGGACCGGCATTAGCCAAGGAGGTTGCGAGATGTAGGGAGAGTATAATATATAGCATAGTGAGATATGGCAAAATAAAATACAATACAATATCACAGTATTATGTGTGAGCAGCGACTCTAGACACTGGCAGGACTTCGAGCACAACAAGTCGATGTGGGCCTGGTGCGACACCTACATCGCTGCTCCCTCCCAGGAGGTCTGCAATGCGAACGCAGCCGCCTCATGATCGTCCATCTTTGGGAGTGCATTGAGCTTCAGCATGCTGCCAAGGGCTGCCAGGGCGACCAGTGGCATTGCCACTGCGAGACGCAAGCCGGCTGCCTTGGTGTAGGCCGCGAGTGCATGGCTGAAGTACGCATTTCATCCCGGATTTCTGTGAGGTGGTCGTTGGGAGGAGTACCAGTGCTGGCAGGATCTGCAGTGGATGTCGGCAGAGGTACACGAGGCACAAACTCGACCACAGCACCTGTTGTCCTTGGCAAGTTTCATTGTAGTGCCATGCCAGTGACTGCGCAGGGCATCAAGAAGGCAAAAAGCCAGCACACTTGCCCGGCACTTGGCCAGGATGGTGTTTGGGGAAACCCGGATGATCTGTCCGCCAGTATAAGTATCGGCAGGCGACGACGTGGAAGTTTGGCACAGCCCTCTGCACTACCAGGTGGATTGGCTTGGCCGGGTGCCCGGCTGTGCAACACTCTGCAGCATTCGATGCGCGGTGACTTGTAGAGAGTTGAACCAGCCAGGCTCCAGCTGTTGTTCCACAGGCAAGTCCGTCTGCAAGGCCTGGAGCATCTCTGCAGCCAGTACAGACTGACAAAAAAGCAAGCATGTATATAAACATATGACTATGCAATATGCAAATATACAATGAACAAATGAATGAACTAATGATGCATGGACCAAGCATACAACAAATGAATGCAATTATCGGTGTGTGAAACCGAAGCAGAACAGGTAGATCGAGAACCAAGCAAGCAACTGAAAAGTACATGTGCGTGTGTACATAAAGATATGTATACATGTGTGTATGAATGTATTTCTGTTTGTATGTATGTACGTATGCATGCATGCATGGATGTATGTACGTATGTATGTAAGTGATGTATTACTGTCTGTATGTATGTATCTATGTAGGTAGGTATGTATGTATGTATGATTGCATGTATGTATGTATGTATGTATGTATGTGTATGTATGTATATATGCATGTATTTATGTATGTATGTATACATGTATGTAATGACTGTCTATGTGTGAGTGGCCTTTCTCTTTGATCGATGTGCCGCTCGATTGCAGGAGCTGGAAGAGGGCGGCCGGTAGGCGCAGTGTGCACAGCAGAGCAGAGATGTGCAGCGCTTGTCCGATTCTGCAGCTTGCCTCTCCCTTTGCTTTCTCCAAAAAAAAGTCGCCACTATCTGTAAATTGTGCATGCAAACCGGACTAAGACAGCTCCTTTTCCTATTACACTTTCATAAGAATTTTGTATAATAATGCAACTTTAGGGATTTTCTATTTATAAGAAGCCAGCCAGTCGAAGAAGAATTGAATAGAATCTCCTAAAGAATAGATTAGCAAAGAATGGAACCCCGTCTAGTAAAGATATATCATATAAAAAATTCTGAATATAGTATATTTAGAGGATTAGTCATTATATTTCTTCAAATAAAGATTTTGAAACTAAAGATTAAATTTCGATAATATTGCATTCAATAATTCAAATAGCAAGAAATCTACTCTATAAATCGTTACGGTTAAACTAGCCCTATGCGGTGCGTCACGCTTCTGAGCGCCCTAGCTCCAAAATTTTCGGGAAATTTCTGGACGCCGGCGAGCAAGACAATTGCGTCTACCCGGAACCTAAAATTTCCGGGCGGGGCCTCGAAGGAGGAGAAAGGCCTAGTCTTCTAAATTATTCAAAAAATTTGGGGATCCGGGTAGCTCGACGCCTCAGTCATCGTTTCTTTAAATTTACTAAAAATTTAAATATCGAAAATTTAAAGAATGAATGTAGCCTTCTGAGGTCATATATTCTAAATGCAGATTATATATTACAGATAGTTTGTAGTCTTATACTGGAACATCGTATTTCATCTATTCTCAGATGTAGTGCCATGAGCGCTTGCACGCGAAAGTTTAGTAATTATCTGTCTATCTGTCCGTCGATCCGTCCAACTATCTATTTGTCTCTCTTCTATCTTTATATCTGTCTCTCTGATTGTCTTTCTATCTCTTTCTTTATCTCTCTAGCTCTCTGATTCTATCTCCATCTCTTTCTTTCTATATCTTTTATTTCTCTTTCTCTTTCTTTTCTCTCTTTCTTTTTCTCTCTCTCTATCTATCTCTTTTTTTATTTCTCTCTCTCTCTATCTCTCTCTCTGTCTCGCTCTCTCTATTTTTCTCTCTCTTTGTTTCTCTGTCTCGTAATTTGTTTGCCTCTTATCTTTCTCTCTTTTTGTCTTTCTCTCTTTCTTTCTCTTTCTATCGCTCTCTCTCTCTTTATTTTCCTTTTTATCTCTCTCTATCTCTGCCTCCCTCTAGTTCTCTTCTTCTATTCTTCTCTCTTTCTGTCTCTTTCTTTATCTCTGGTTCTCCCTATTTCTGTCTGCCTCTATGTCTATCTTTCTCTAATTTTCTTTATCTCTGGAAAAATTTCAATTATTTTTCGATAATTGTCGGAAAATTTAGAGTCTGAATATAGTCTTCTAATATTTGATATTTTGAATTTCGAATAGGTATTATAAATATTGTATAATTTTAGACTAGAAAATCGTGCCTCGTTTGTTCACGTAGCTCTCTCTTTGTCTGCCTATCTATCTCTCTATTTATTTTTCTCTATCTATTTGTTTCTCTATCTATCAATTTTTTTCAAAATAAATTCGGGTCTTGAATGATAATTGCTCCAGTCAAGGGCTCGATAAAGGATAGTTCTTTATAAATAATATAGTTTATTGTGAGACTAATTCCAAAATAGTCAGGTGATGCATATGAATATTGAACGCCTATATTATTGTTGTCTCTTCCAGGTTATGCAAAAAATCTCTCGTCCTGCTTATAATTCTGCCGTCGGTCTTCGGCATGGCACTCTAGATGAAATTTGTCGCAAGGTGCTGTCATTTGAAGCTCGACTTCATCTTTGGGATGACTGTCGGTGTCAACATATATGATTAGATATCCAAGTGTCCGTGACCCTGGCCCCTGAAGATTACGTATAAGAGTTCGATGTCAGCTTGTCCGTAACTGTACCGCTGCTGGAAATTTGCGCCTTCGCGCTGAGACTTGACACTTTAAATTTTCTACAAATTTCTATGATTATTGAAAGGTTTCTGCAAAAAAAATAAATAATATTAATATGAGTAAACAAATTTGATATAATCCAATAAATGAGTTTTTTTTGTTGGTTTTGATTTGAAGAAGTTCCATTTTTTTTTGATATTTCGGTAAAATAAAATTTATTTAACCAATGTTATAAAGAAATGATTATCGTGGTCATCAAGGTATTAATGTCGTTAGATCTCTCCGGATCTTGATTTTTTTTCAACCAACTAATTCGTGGCTTTTTATGTATAATCATGAATTGATCAGTTATCATTGCTGAAATAAGTATTTATACGATATCATTTTTGAATAATATATTTTTTTTGCTTATCGCATAAATATCATTTTTGAATAATATATTTTTTTTTCTTTTCGTATTACCAAGAAAACAATTCAAATCATCAAAAATCATATTTATGAATAGTTTCCGGCAAAAACAAAAAACTTATTCTGAATAATTTATTCATTTATTTGTTAACAACGTACGAATTCGAAAAAACAAGCAAAATTTAACTCTTGAATTATGATTTTTTTTTCGATGGGCAGTATCTTGGCGGTTTCGAGGAAAAACTTGCTCCGATGATGACGGCTCATTTCGTTTTCCAATAACAGGTTCTCCGCACTTCTGGAAGAAGCAAAGTGTCTGTAAAGTTACCACCAAAAAGAAACTCCCGGGGGTTTCTTGATGCTTTATGCATGAATGCATCGTATACAACGCAAAAGGGCGAATCCAGTCTTTTTTTTGAAAATTGTGTTGTGTTTTGGTTTTAAATTTGACATTCGGCTGTGCGGCTATTTCTAATAATCGAAACAAAAATTAATACGGATGGTTTTTTGAATTCTGCTTGGAATCCGTTCTTACTTAAAATTGATGAAACTTCAAAATATGAAATTTGTATTGTCCGAAAAATAAAAAAAGAATGGAAAAAGAATATTTTGTTTTCCTAGGAATAAGAAAAGAACAATAAATATATAACTGAAAATGGTATCAGATAAATAATTATCATAACAATGAAAACATTCCATTTCTTGATTATACATAGAAAGGCCACGAAATAGTTTCTTATAAAATCAAAAAACAAATCAAGATTCGGAGAGATCTAACAATTATTTTGATTCGATTCTATATAAATTTGAAAAGTTAAACTTTCATCAAGGAAGCCCATTCCCATGGCCTCCACTTCTTTCGAGCTTCACCCATCGAAGTCAGACGAAGTTAGAATTCTAATACAATTATACAAAAAAAAAATTCATTCTGTTGAATGTAAAATCAACAAAATTATATTTTGATTATATTTTGGCAAAACAAAACTTATTCTGATTAATGTATTTTTCTATTTGAAAAAACAGAATCAAGCACGGATTCAAAAAACCAGGCGAGACTTTTGTGCCGATAATTGCTGAATCGTGCAAGTTGTAGGTTCTGATTTTTTTGGTCTTTGTGCTTTGCATTGCTTGTGCCGAGAAGGAAGCGGCCGTTGTACCGGCGACGTCTTTTTGGCTCTTGTTCTGCTTTTTCGCTAGACCGAAAACCCGCATTTCTGGAAGAAGCAAAGTGTTTGTAAAGTCACCACCAAAAAGCGATACATCGTACCCAACACAAACGTGCGAATCCATACACAAAGGTGCGTTTCGAACGCGCGCTCATCGTATGCTCCGAGTCGTTGCCAGCCCTTAAACGGCCAGGACCCGCAGTCCTCGTCGGGCGACGTGATTGGGGGGCGAGTGGGCCAGCACCCTGCGTATCTCAACCCGGGGCGTCGATAGCCTGCTTGTTGCAGGTGTGCTTGCGCGGCGACTGCGCGGCAAAGGAGGGAAAGCGGTCACCGTGCAAGGCTTGGAGGAGTCACGCGGCGGCTAAGGGCGCACGTGTTCCTGCCAGGTTGCCCAATGTGCGCCCTTGCTGTCTTCAACGCAGAGAAAAGCCCAAGCCCTCAAAACGTCTAGGCAAGGCGGCGATTCAAAAATCAGGCGAAACTTTTGTGCCGATAATTGCTGAATTGTGCAAGTTGTAAGTTCTGATTTTTTGTCGGTCATTGTGCTTTGCATTTCCTGTGCCGAGAAACATTTTTCAAAAATATATTTGTGAAGATACTTTGGCAAAAAAAAATCTGAATAATTTATTTATTTATTTGGAAAGAACGAATTGAAAGCACGAATTCAAAAAAAAAATCAAGTGAAAATTTTGCGCTGATAACTGCTGAATTAACGCGGGCGTAGTTTCTGATTCTTTTTTTGGTCATTGTGCTTTGCATCGATTGTGCCGAAAAGGAAACCGCCGTTGTCCCGCCGACTCAGTTCAACTTCCATTTTTTTTTTTGCAGTATCTTGGCTGTTTCGATGGAGAAGTTGTTCCGATAGTGACAGCTCATTTCGTTTTCATCACAGGTTCTCCGCATTTCTGGAAGATGAAGCAAGGTGTCTGTAAAGTTATTATCAAAAACCAGCTTATGAAGATTTCTTGATGCTTTATGCATAAAAGACCGAATCCAGTAACAA